TACGCTCCCTCCCCCCGTACCATCCTCGCACGTTCCTCTAATACGTACCCCGCCCCCTCTTCCTAGATCCTCTTCCTAATCGGCCTCACCCTCATAATCCGTACCACGAAAACCATAGCCTTCTTCGCGCGCTCGAAACAATGGAAAGGCACGCTCGCCTTTACCGTCGGCATCGGCCTGATCCTCATGCGCTGGGCGTTTATAGGCTTCGTCATCGAATTATACGGTATACTGGTTCTGTTTGGCGACTTCTTTGCTACGATTGCGGGGTTCGCCAGGGCAATTCCGGTCGTGGGGCCATATATTGCGCGTGGATTGGAGGCATTGGGGGGTGCAGCGCAGAGTGGGAACGTGCCTGTTTGACAAAGGATGGCGGAGGAGAGGGCTCAAGGTGCATGTGGGAAACAGGCAATGATGTGAGGAAAGAAGGAGGGAAGGTTATTGGCGTTGAGCATATCTAAGAAGGGAGCATTCATGGGCTTACGGGCATGTATATGGATACATGCCAAAGGAGAAAGATTCAAAATGCAATCACCCGTCACGACGGTGGACTGCTGATCTGCGAAAATCACAAGCCCGCAACCTTTCTCAAAATACCCCAATCCCCATCAATAGGCACACAGTACGTATAGAGTACATTACCATCAGCCAACAGCAGCCAGCCCCAATCATACTCACCCGCCATCCCACCACCCAACGAAACAACCCGTCTTCCAAGCCCCGAATCAAACATATAGTATATGCCATATCTCCTCTCCAGAGTATCGTAAACCTCAGATTCGCGCGCAACTACACGTTTCACAATGGTACACCCGGCGGCATATCTGCTTTCCGTTTGTTTCAGCACCCCGGTTGCTTGGTGGGCAGCCTAACGTCACCAGACCGGGGATTTTTCTTGGGACACGGATCGTGGTATCGATAGGGCTGAGTATTTGTCATTTTGATGTGTGCAGGCAGTGGTGTGCGCTTCTCGCGGTGAATTTCACATCTTTATCGATTACCTAGTGAAGGATGGAGGCCAATGGTGAACAGTAACGACAGGGGTAATAGTAGACCTTGATATTCGCAAGGATTACGGCAATCGCTGAAAAGGAGAGTAGCGTTGTGTTTCAAAAAGCCACTGGATCCTCCACCGATTCTAGGTCTAGAGTCTAGGCTTGGGGGAAGAAATGCGTCGATGCTGTTTGATGCTGCTGGTGTATGGTACTGGTTGGAAATGCTTCCTATTCTAACCACCACTTCCATAAAGAACGCCTGGTGTTATGATGCGAAGGCCAAGCACAAAGAATAAGTCGGGTTGCGAAATGCGGCATTAGTCGTGTCTCATAAGAATGAACCGGGCGATTGGTGCAGAGCCCTCATGTAATAAAGTGCGAATAGTGCCCTGGAACCCTCTGTCTGCACTTTTCACAATCATCTCGATAGCCCATGCTGAAGCGTCCGACGCCTGTCAACGCGCCACTTCGCTTCCGGCCGCGCGGGGTGGGCGGTAGGCCGAGTGATGCTGAGGTGGGTTCCGTGTCCATTTGATCTGCCGAGTTGGCGTTGCTGACGCTTAGACGGGAGAGTTGGGATTGCGTAAATGCCGTGGGGGTATCTGGTATGTCTTCATCCTCGGATATGGGCGAGGGCATACGTCGATTCCGATCGCTATCCACTTCTTGTCTTTGTCCTTTCCATGCTGGTGACTGTTGGGATGAAAGAATGTGCGAACTCATGATGCTACTCGAAGGGTTCATGGCTTCGATGGAGCCTGCCATGGGATATCCGCCATTCATCCCACCTCTTTTAAATGTTGGATGTATTGGTGTTGGGAGTCTTCCTGTGTTATTGGACGAATCCGAATTAAACAGCGAAGGTCTTAGCATGGCGGGACGCATGAAAATGTTGGATGTGCCCAAGGCAGGCGATCCTGCCGGCTGGCTTGGAACATCACTGTCGTCTTCATCCATGTCCATCTCGAAGTCCATGCCGCTTGATCGTGAGTGCAGTACGGGCCCACCAACATTTGCGCCTGGTGAGTCTGCTACCCCACCATGCTCTGAATAGGCTGGTGTTAAAGATCCATTGTCCAGATAATTCCTGGGAGGCGATGGGCTGAATGACGGCCGGTAAGGCAGGTTTGCAGATGAGGGGAATTTGTTGGCTGCGTGGGCTGCATAGTCGAATCTGGACTCGTAGCCTGCACGAGATTTCTGCAAAGGAATTGTGCATTAGAATCATACTCTCTTAACACCGAGCGGGAAGAGCAGACTTACTTTGAGATAACGGTCTTCGTCCAAGTCAGAGTCGGAATCATCGTCTCTACCTCGCTTTCCTGCCGTCATGGTGTGGAAGGTGAACATGATGCTGGTGCGCAAGAATTATATTGTACCAGATTCTCGGCGGTCAACGCGTCAACGAACAGAGGCGAGAAGATTAGCGGAACAGGTAGGAAGAGCGCGGGCGGTGCGATGCTGAAGACTGGAGTTTGCAAGACACCAAACAGCGATGGTAGTGCCCTGGCGCATTTGTTCTGACACAGCGGCCGAGGGGGTCTTTAGGCTTATATCAGGGGCGGTGTTTCACGTCGCATGAAAAGCACCCTGACTGGTGGGTTGGAGTCGCGCGCCTCTTGATCGCCAGGAGATTTCTTGGTTGTCGTGGAGGACCCGCCGGCTGACGGGACCTCCGGTTGATGGGCGACAGGTCGAGCGTGGCTGGGTGATGGTGATAAGGTATAAAGGTATAGGTAGAGAGATGTAGGTATAGGCAATGGATCCGGGGAAGTGCAAGCACGTCATGTGATGGGGGGTATTCCTAGGGACCTCACGCTAGGTAGCTGATAGATGTGCCTATCTGCGAGACGGTGTGGTGGACAGCTGCTGGAAAGGGCATCATCAATTCAGAAGCTACTAGACATGTGCACACATGCACATGCCAGCTATGCAGCGCCTTTTCAGTGCAGAGGGACTAAGGCTTGGTGAAAGACGAAACGATTCCTTTTATTGCTCAGCGGAAACAAGCTTGGGACTAGGGAGTTCAAGGAGGACATTTAGGGAGCACATGACAGCCAACGTTACCACTGACTATGATTGACAGGTGAAGATGGACGGGCATGCCATCCTCCATGGCGTACCATTCCACTCACAGGTGGATGATGTTGTTCATGCTGACAAGGATGACAATGATGATGTATCAAATACTTTGGTGCCTGTGTGTGTGTGTGTGTGTGTGTGTGTGTCGAGTATACAGTCGGTGCTCAGTGCTCGTAGCATGGAGGTGTTGGTACCGGTAGATGCTGTCAACCCAGGATGAGCCAACCAGAAGGCAGCCATTTCGGGATGAATCCATGGCCGCCGGGCAGTATGTATTCCAGGCCCTTAGTAGGTTCCCCTGCTCCCCGTTATCGATACTGTAAAGAAAGAAGAAAAAAGAAAAAAAAAAGAAGAAAAAAGAAAAAAAAAAAAGTGTCCGAAGAGTGCGGCGTCAACGCGTTGCCCCACTCTCCCCAAAATATCTGTCTTCGGTGCCTGTACGCTACCAAGATCCTCGTTCCTCGTCCAGTCATACAAAGTGTAGCCAGATTCTGCTCCTGCTCCATTGCTTGGGCTTGGGTACTGTGCCTAGCTTACGGTACTCCACTCCCACACTATCCTCTTCGTCCGCTTCTCCCATTGTCTGTCTCCATTGTCCGTCTCCATTGAGCCTCCTCCTCCAGTGTGGCCAACACCGTACTGGCACCATCCTCCTCATCCCACTTGTCTACATTCCACCCTAATCCACTTGGCACCTGCACCTCTTACCCTACGCCTACCTTTTGACCTCCAATTCTTGCCATTTCCTGCCAAGTTCGCGACTTCACTGCACCTGACGGCTTGTCTGCAGCAGAGAGAGAGAGTAAGCTACCTAAGCCACAATACAGAGCATCCTGCTATTCACACCATCAAACGTAAGCTGATCAGTGGGCTACTTGTGAAAAAGACATTATCCCACATCAGATCATATCCCTTGCATCTGCACACATTCAAGACAGCACCCAGCACGCCGACATGTCCTCTACAGAAGCCGCCGACCGGAGCGACGATGTGCGCGGTACATGACCACTCTGAAGCATCCTTCCTCGTCCTGCTCGCTAATGACTACACCCTCCAGTCCTTGGATACGATCCGCTGATCCCCCCCGCACTGCTCGCCGCCGAGATCCCCATCCCACCACATGCAGAGAAGACGGTCGTCCAGGGTCGCAAGGACGCCGCCAAGATCATTACACAACAAGATGACCGTCTGCTGGTCATGGTCGGGCCCTGCTCCCTCCACGACCCTGAGCTGGCCATTGAGTACTGCCAGCGGTTGAAGGCGCTTGCCGACAAACTCCAAGACAATCTTTGCATCATCATGCGCGCTTACCTCGAGAAGCCCCGGACAACGGTTGGCTGGAAGGGTCTGATCAACGACCCCGACATTGACGAGAGCTACCAAATCAACAAGGGTCTCCGCGTCTCCCGCAAGCTGTTCGTAGACCTCACATCCGCTGGCATGCCCATTGCCTCTGAGATGCTGGACACGATTTCTCCACAGTTCCTCGCAGATCTCATCTCGCTTGGTGCTATTGGTGCGCGAACGACGGAGTCACAATTGCACCGTGAGCTCGCCTCAGGTCTCTCCTTCCCAATTGGCTTCAAGAATGGCACCGATGGTGGCTTGACGGTAGCCGTGGATGCTATCGGCGCAGCGGCAGCGAAGCACCACTTTATGGGTGTGACCAAGCAAGGTCTAGCTGCCATTACCCGGACAGCTGGCAACGAGCACTGCTTCGTCATTCTCCGTGGTGGAAGCAAGGGTACCAACTTCGACAAGGAGAGCATCAAGGGCGCCAGGGAAGCATTGAGGAAGAAGAATCTGCCCGAGGTCATGATGGTTGATTGCTCCCACGGTAAGCCTTGAGATTCTAGCAGAACGACCAATACCCAGTGCTGACAATCGTCTAGGCAATTCCAACAAGAACCACCGTAATCAGCCCATTGTCGCCAAAGATATCGCTGACCAGATCCGCAATGGAGAGACTGGGATTGTTGGTGTCATGATCGAGTCAAACATCAACGAGGGCAACCAAAAAGTCCCCGCCGAAGGTCCCGCGGGCCTGAAGAAGGGTGTCTCCATTACAGATGCGTGTATTGACTGGGAGAGCACCGTGACGGTCCTCGAGGACCTCGCCTCTGCTGTTGCAGAGAGGAGAGCCAAGAAGACAGAGGCCAACGGTGCGCACTAAGCCTGTCGATTGTTGGTGGCTTTTTTTTTCTTGGCCATGGATTGGGGCGTGTATATTGCTGTGAAATCTGGAGTTGGGAAAGCTTGGATTTTGGAAAAAATGACACGACGATAGGAGTTGGGTTTATCGGTGCTTTTGAAAAGGAAAATATAAACTGACGTCACGTCTATAAAACATGTGCAATGGTGCGTCAACGTAACTTCATAAAGTGGGTTGATCATCCATCAGTGCGTAATCAATCGTCCGTCTTGCTGGCATCTGACATCCCTTGACCATTGCCCTCTGAGAAACTGGACCGTAAAACAAGCCCTCACCCGCTTCACTCTTCTTCTTCTTCTTCGTCCTCGTCCCTTGCCAGCATCCCCCTTCTCCCCCCAGCCGCCACCCGATCCGCCCTCTCCCCGACATACACATCGCCCGAGCACTCTGTCCCACAACCCGGACACTTTCTGCCCTCCCTGCCCTTGCCCCTATAAAACCCATTCGCACACGCATCATGCCAGCGCACCCCACACTCCCTGCGATTACAACGGATGCCATAGGTGACGATTTCGCGGCAGCCTTCGCAGTCGTGGATGCGGATGCGCGCGAGACTGGACCCGTTGGCGTCGTCGGTCTCGTCGGCATCGTCGACGGACTCGTTGTAGGTTTCCTTGAGGTAGGCGCGGAGTTCCATGAGGGCGCGTGGGGCGAGGGAGAAGTAGCCTTGGCGGGACTTTTGGAGAAGGGCTTGTTGGACGAGGGTGGTGAGGATGGTGTCGGCTTCTTGGATGGTGATGCCTGGGTCTGAGGAGGAGGTGTGTGTTTGGCTCTGTGTCTGCGTGTTTGCTTCCTCGTCGGCTGTAGGGCCGCTGAATTGCGAATGTCGGTTTCGCCGCGAGGGCCGCGCAAGCTGCGATGCCTCGGTGTGTTTGACCGCCATGACTTCTCGCGTGCGCGTGTTGTTGGTGTCGAACATGTAGTCCAGCAGACGGCGAATATAAGCGATTTCGGCGGCGGAAAACTTGGTTGCGAATTGGGTGAGGGAGTCGGATGTGTTGTTGACGAGGGCGTACAGCACGCTTCTGTCGCGCTGGTCGCGTGTGTTTCGGATTTCAAAGTCAAAAGCCTCGAGTTTGGCGTTGATGGTTTGGATGGCGTTTGTGAGTTGGGGTTGGGTGATGTCCGCTTCTGACCACGGCCGTTCTGGGTCTGGGGGGGAGTTGAGGGTTAGTAAAGTTGTGTGGGTGAGTTGTTTTTTGGAGGCTTCTTCATCCTACTCTGTGCAGTCAGGATGGCGGCAAGGGTTGCCTTCATCACTTCAACCGTCATGACGCTGTGTGTTTGGAACGCTTGCAAGAACGCGCGGTGAGTCCAGTTGTAGTCCTCATCGTCTGATACAGGACGGACAATTGGTGAATCGTCTCGAGACATGAAGAATAACCGTCTACTACTCGTCAAAGTGTGGTAGAGGGCTTGGCTTACAGAGTAGCGTTGTATGGTGGTCAAGGCCAAAGCGCGCGGAGAAAGAAACGCGATAACGCGAAGCCACGTGAGTGCATCCACGCCTTGGCTTCACTCCTATTGTCGTCACCCACAAGTGAGCCCCGAGCATTTTTCCCATTCATCTTATCCGATCCTTGCCAAAACATTAAACCCTCCCCACACAGGTACTGTAGATTTCTTACTCGCATTCTAGTAATGGAGATTTTTTTCTCTTTGCACACATCACATAGAAGAATCCTTTGTAAGAGAGCATGTTTCAAATAGGACATGCGTGGGAATTTCATTATCCAAAGCTAGCACTAGGAAAACGCCGTTCAGTCCAGTTCCACACACGCCCAACTCCGATCCCATGCCTATCCCAATGCATACCATATATACTCTATCGGCAAAAATGCAGCAAAACGCCTCCCAATGATGATGCGTTCCATCAACCGGACTCCCTTTCCTTAAAATGGTCTCATTCAAGTTCGTGATTCTCGTTCCATATCAGGATTGTAGGTACAACCGTAGTGTCCTTCATGAACATCACCATCGAAGTCTGCGCCTAAGCAGACTTGGGGTGTTGCTCCACTAGCCATTCCATTACGCTCTCGTAGCAGAGCACAAACTGCCTCAGACTTTGCACCATGCTCAAACGCTGGAGACGGAAATCCTCTACCGTCTTTGCGATGAGGTCGATTTCTTCGTTGTTGATCCAATTGCCTTCTTCGCGCTCATTCTTGTTGCCAGACTTGTTGCCAGCATCGACATCCATTGGCGAGCTCTGCCTTGCCTTCCGAGCCTGTCTCTGCCGCTTAAGCATGTCCAGAACGGAGTCTACAGTGCAGAATGTGCCAGTACGACCGCATCCAGCAGAGCAATGGACAATGATTGGGCGACTGTTTGCAGACTCCGGCTGAGAAGGCGTACCGCCATTAACTGAACGCACAACAGCATCGGTTTGTTCAATCAGTCCCAGTAGGTGGGCTGGATGCGCTGGGGCTCCAAAGTCAGGCCAATGAGAGTACTGGAGTTGGGTAATTTCTCGCATGCGTGCAAATGGTTCCTCATCATTGGACAAGGTAAATTTGCGTACAATGACGTAGGGTTGCTCTTGACTCGGTGAGCCCGTGGTGGCTTCAGTAGTGAAGTTGAAGCCCTTGGGTGGGTTATTGGTAGTCGATCGTCGTTGACTCATCACGGGCCTCGACTGTTCTCTATGTCTGTAAATCTTCGATGGTTCAAGGGAGGCTCTACGTTCGCCAAGATCATCCAGCCTGAGGTGTCCGTAACGCTTATCGGACCAGTAGTTGTGGGCCTTGATCTGACCACCCTCTTGTTCGGCTGTTAGCATGACAATGACGCGAACATCCTGCTGCCAAACAACGTTCCAAAAGTCCTGTGAGATGGTTAGCGGCAGCTAGCGTATGGTGTCTTTTTTTAAAAAAAAAATACAAACGTACCTTGAAGGTTGCGGGAATGGGGCCCTGGGTGGCGATGTAGCGTTTATTAGAATAGGCAGCTTGAACATGATTGGCGTTGATATAGTCGCAGGTGCCTTCTGGAACTCCTTGTAGCTTGACACGAGTGTGTTCATAAGGCCAGATATTGTTGTAGCGATTCTTTGAGCCCTTTTCAATACCTGCAATCTGAATGGCCTTTGCAGGGTGAGAGCATGATGGACTTCCGTAAGACACCTTCCCAGAGAGAGCCTCCTGCATGCGTTTCTGCTCCCGTTTCTCGATAGCGAGGAAACGTTCGGAGACAGTCTTGCCATTGTCCTTTTCTTCTGCTGCTTCCTTGAGCCATTGCGGCAGTTCGTCTGCCATAGTCCGGGTCATGCCTTCGGGGTGCTTCACAGGCATTTGTCCAACGCCACCAATGAGGTCCATATTCTGACGAATGTTGCCGAAGAAAGGATTGGCAGCGTTTTGGGTCGCCGGCATAGGACATCCGCCAATGACTGGGGCAACAGTAGGTAGATCCATCCCAAGTGTCAGGGTAGCAGTACCCGATGTTGGGCTTTGAGAAGCTTGGTGGGTGATCCATGTGGGAAACCTCTCGGAGAACTCCTTGAAGCCGCCGCGGATGATGAAAGTGCCCCCGGTCCAGCCTTCGCTTGTGAATTTCTTCAGAGTGTTGATGCAAGTCGTAGCGTCTTTCATCTGGGACGAGTTGGCGTCATACACAACTATGTGTTTGCTGCTCCGCCATCGCTCAAACTTTTCCCGTTGTTCTTCGTCCTTGAAGGTTTCGGCGAGTTTCTGGACATTGAAGGAAGCTCGTTTCAAGAGCGTCGTCGGTATGCAGAGGCTCAAAGCGCCTGCGATGCGAGCCCGAGAGTATTGTGTGGAGACGCGGAGATCGAGGAGGAGCACCTCTTCGACGGACGACTGCAGGATGTTGACGACGTGCTGGGCGGTGACCATGGTGGGCCCCTCTGTGCTGTTGTCATTCTCAAAGCTGGCAGGCAGGGTTTCAGCTCGATGGCTAATAGCCGAGGGGTGCTGCGATGGCTTCACGGGCAAGGATGGTCGTGAGGTGTGATCTTCGGCAAATTCTGCTATGGCATCCGTCCGGCCCAGTCCCTCGAAGCTTGCAGGAGAGTTTCGACGTGGTCGGTCGGGAAACAGGGCAGATTCTGAGGAGAGCATGCGTTTTGGCGAGCGAGGCTTGGGTGCCCCTTCGTTTTCGTCCTTTGCGCCGTCCTTGGTACCTACCGCACGAACGGATGGCGTCATCGACTGTGGTGAGCGCGGTGCCTTGAAGGTGCTAGAATAGGGACTTTGGGTAGGGGCAGGCGGGGCGGATGACGCAAAGTCGAAGCTGCCAAGCGCAAACGCTCTGTTATTCTGAGACTGCTTCCTGAACTGATCGAATTCGGGATTCTGCTCTACTGGTATTATGCGTGGCGAGGCAGCAGCCGTGGAGCGAACGTCAGACGTCGGCGGGCTCCAGTTTCCGCGAATGTGCTGGGCAGCGGTCGAGGAAAAGTGGTCGGCGTGCGCGTTCATGGTCAGGCCAAAGTAATTTGGCGACGGGGTTCCTGGCATTTTGGGCTTGTGGGTGACGATGTGGCTCGGGGATTTGATGATGCCGTTCATGCGGGGTGAGAGGGGGGCGGTCGGATGTAGTGTCGTACTCGACTTGGTCATGGGTGTCGATCTCTGCAGGCGCGAGGAAGTGTGGGCAGAGTGTGAGGAACCGCGAGGTCTCGGGGAGAGGGCGGGAGTGGCCATGGTGAGGGCTGTTCGCGCGCCTCCACTAGTGGAACGGGCGGCCAGGTGAATATGCAGGTGCAATTGGATATGTATAGGGACATGAAAATATGGGGAGGGTCAGTAGCGTGGTTGCGGCAACGCGGTTTTGCGTGAAAGGGGGCGGGGGGCGCGCGAGCTGATGGGCAAGGTCTCCTTGGGGTGGGAAGTGTGCTGCTGGCTGAGTAACAGCAGCTTTTAAAACATCCACCGACCCTTCTAATAGCTGGTTGT